CCCTTTTGAGTCTGTCTTCTTTCACTTAACATAATGCATTTAAGATTCATCTATATTTTGTGTATCAATAGTTTGTTTCTTTTACTGTTGGGTAATATTTCAGTGTATGGATATACCTTAATGTTATCCATTTACCAGTTGAAGGACTTTTGTTGTTTCAAATTATTTGCAATTATTACTTTCCATTTGCTTCTCTACCATTTTTAACCTTCCTTATTCACTTTTCTGCTTTGTGTTCTCTGAAATGTACTATAACAAGTATAATTAATTAATCATTAGTTAATCCAACACATATTTGTTTATTGCCTATGAAGTGCCACACAGGTATTATTCTAGACACTAGGAATTACACTAGTTAAACAGAACACACAAACCATCTCTGCCATAATATAATCATAGCCTCAAACATTTAAATTATAAGTTCTGTTACCATAATGAATTTTCATACATGTTTAGATTAACTGTCTTAAAGATCTTTGTGAATAAGATAAAGATTTCCTTTTTTTTTTTTTTTTTTTTTTTGCAATTCAACTTGATTTAGTAATTTTTCTAGGAAAAAAGAAAGTCGTTCATTGGAAATATTAAGGATCGTTAGTACAGATTACATGCTATATTTGAAATAGTTTGAAATATATATATGAAATATATATATGAAAATAGTTTCTGATAAATTACTCAGGACTAAGTTTCTTTCTCAGTTATGCTTGCTCCCTGCAAATATCATTTCTAATATAAGTGCTTTGTCATGTCAGGAATTTTCTTTTCATTTCTGCTTGATAGTCTCAGTTTTCTCAAGAAGATATACATAAGTTAATTAGCACAGTCCAGACGAACAGTTGTCCTGTTTGCTGCCCTCAGCAGTGAAACAACGTACCATTCTGCTGTCTAGGGATCTAGTCCAAAGGTTTTATAAGGAATAGGGACAGGAAAGAAAAGACAAAAAGGAGAAAAACCAGGGACAAACTTAGCATATATGAGGATGCCTTTAGAGAATTAGATGTACAGGTGGTCTGGAAACCTAATATATATATATTAGGGGTGTGTGTGTGTGTGTGTGTATATTTGGTGTGTATATATATTAGGTATATGTATATTAGGTATATATACACACACACATATATATAGACATCTAATGTTTTCAACTACATGAAAGATTTGGTAGAAATCAAATGAAAGTTAAAACTTGCATGTCTAATTTAGGTTAATTATTTTTTGTTGGATAGGCCCTGCAGGATAATGCTAAGGTAAAAATTCTTCGAAATATTTTACTTCAAACTTTAGACATAACTGACCTGCCTATAAAAATAGATCTCTAATGAATATGTCTCTGTTAGTATGAAAAATAGAAACTGTGGCTTAAATGAAATAATACAATATCCATTTTAAAATTTTCAGGGGTTTTAAGATTTAAGTTACTTATTTGTTGATGTTCTTTTAACTTATAAAGGGTAGTGATAGAATGTCTATCACCAATCATAGGACTAGTTTTTTTTTTTTTTTTTTTTTTTTTTTTTGAGAAAGAGTCTTATTCTGTCATTCAGGCTGGAGTGCAGTGCTGCTATCTCAACTCACTGCAATCTCCGCCTCCCAGGTTCAAACAATTCTTCTGCCTCAGCCTCCCAAGTAGTTGGGGCTACAAGTGCATGCCACCATGCCCAGCTAATTTTTGTAATTTTAGTAGAGATGGGGTTTCACCATATTGGCCAGGCTGGTCTCCAACTCCCACCTGCCCTGGCCTCCCAAAGTGCTGGGATTACAGGTGTGAGCCACCGCGCCTGGCCCATAGGACTGTTTTTCTCCCCAATCTTAGGACTTTAACTTGGCCCAGTTCCCTAAATTTCTAAGCCCTAGGTTTTGTTGCTGTTGTTTTTAAAAGAATTGAATTAGCACTTTAGTATGTCTTAGAAAATTTGGCTAACAGTGTTTGGGAGTTTGTAGTTACTAAATATCAAAGAATATAAAAAGATTTCCAGATGGCATTATTATTTACATGGCATAAGATATGGAGAATCGTTAGATTTAGGAATCAGTTTCAGAACAGACCATTGGAAAATTTATGTGAAAAGACCGGCTAACTATAGCAATAAATGTTAAGTGCCATTATTCAGGGAATGAAAGAGCATATGTTAGTACTTCTCACAAGACTTATCAAAATGTTATATTTTGACTGTTATATTTTTGGGCAGATTTTCAAGGCATAACACTCAGAAGTTTACTGCTTCTTCACATATATTTGTATGTTTTTGAGACTTTAGCCAGCTTTCCTTCCCCCTTTTCATTTTCTAGTTAGATAAAAATCTGTTGAATTTTCTCTTCTTTCTTTTTCAAATATATTACTGTCCATAATTTTGTCTCTTTCCAAGGAGTTATTTCATGACATTTTGACTTAAATGTTGTCTTCCCAGTTATATCTTTAACAAGTGAAGTTTGTCTTCCATTTTATAAATTACTTTTTCGTATAAATATCTCTTGTTGCTTTGAATTTTGAAAGTAATTTGATCAGAATGAATGTGCTAATCAGGTTTTTGAGCAGCAATGTAATAGATTAAAAAAATTTTAATGTCTCAAAATTTGAATATTTGACATTTTCTATGAATTCTGAATTTTCTAATAATACATTCTAATGAATTATAAATATTCTGTTTATAATTTATAGTCAAATAGAATATTTGACTAAGTTAAAATTTTATGTGCAACAAATTACTGAGTTCTAATTTTGTCAGGCACTGTTGTAAGCACTAGGGAGAAGGCAGTGAAGAAAACAAAATTCTGTGGCCCTGTGGAGTTTTCATTCTGTTGTGGGGACGCGAACCACAAGTAAAAAAATAAATGGCAAGCAAAGAGTTTAGGCAATACCACAAATGTCTCCTGGTGCCAGCTGGAACTGCTGGGCAAAGGACTGACAGATTGTACCGTCTGCCATTTAGGTCCTAGAGAGGGTGATTGATCCAGACACAGTTGAACAAGCTGGATTATCCTCTTGGAAAGGGACCATTCTGCTCCTGTCCACACATATTGAAACTTCAGAGGATGCCCAACTGTAACAGTGGGGGTGTTTGCAGCTATGAGAATGGCTGCTAATGAAAAATACCTTGCAAGTAGACACCAGCTGTGGTGATAGCACTTAGAGACCTTATGAGAATTGAAGATTGTACACTGCTTCTTGCGCTGAAGATTCTGGAGCTATTGGTCCCAGCCAACTCTTGCAGTTATTTCAGAGAGCTCTATCATGGCGTCATTCAGTGGACCAATTTGTCTCTCTTCAGTCTGGCCCTCAACCCAGGAGGCTAATTAAACACAAACCTTTCCATCGGTGACATGAATTAATGGGTATATCTGTATGAAAAATTAGAAGAAAGAGAGGAATTGTTCATTCATTGACCTCTTTCACAAACTTCCTGGGGTTGGACATGTTTATTCCTAACCAATCAAAGTTTGTCATCTCCCTGTGGGATGAACCAAATTGTCTCTCCTTTCTCCTAAGTAATACATTTTGTAAGTACTCGAGTCACTATTCTGTCATTGCAAGAAGCTTTCAGGGACAGAGGAATCATTGTAGAATCACTCAGTGCAAAGTTAGTGAACACATTCTTACCCATCCAGGTTGATTAGAGATAGCAGTAGTCACAATGAGCAAAACCAACTATCTTAGTCCATTCAGGCTGCCTTAATGGAATACCATGTACTGGGTGGCTTATAAGCAAAATAAATTTATTTCTCCCAGCTCTGGAGGCTGGGAAGTTCAACATCAAGGTACTGCAAATTTGGTGTCTGGTGAGGGGTCTGCTTCCTGATTTGTAGACAGCGGTCTTCTTGCTGTGTCCTCACATGGCAGAAGGGGTGAAAAGCTCTCTGAGGTTCCTTTTATAAGGGTAATAATCCTATTCTTGAGGGGTCTGCTCTAATCACCTCCCAAAGACCCTTCTTCCTAAAGCCATCGCCTTGGGGGTAAGGATTTCAATGTGAATTTTGGGGGACACAAATGTTCAGACCATAACACCAACTATCATATCATATTGGTGTACTTATACTGGACCCAGAGGAACAGCAGTCACAGTCTACATAAAGAAGTCTCTTGGGCTTCAGTGTCTCCAATTGAAGGCCTCTCCAGAGGGACTTCTTATCCTAATCTACCAGATCACTTTCTTAATGACTACGGTAGCTGCTCTGATATTACTTTGTCTTGTATTATATGCCAGCACATATCTTAGGTCCATTATGGTTTATGCATCAACGTATAACTTCTATTTAGTTTTCATGTTTTTGAGCTTCATAGTTTGTTATTATCATTTGTTTTATACAATCAATGTTCATGGAAACAGGTAACATAGGTATAATAATAGGGTCATTATGGATATACTGAGGCTTTAGAGAGGAGGAAGCATTTGAGGTAAGGCATGAAGGGCAGAGAAACAGGGAAGAATATCTTGACTATGTGCCATGGAAGAATAAAAGGGTGTGGTATGTATGGGCAATGGTGAGAAGTTTTGTATGCCTAGGAGTGCATAAGAATCAAAGGCTACAACTTGGGAGAGGAGTGTTGAAACAGGTAACTCAGAATCATATAAGGCATTTCCTGAGCTATTTTAAAGGTGAAATCACAGGAGGTCACAGGTGTCTTATTCACATTCATAATTTTAAAATCTCTTCTAATAATAATCTCTTCTCTTTTTATTTTTATATTTACTGATGTTAGTCTTAATGATTATATCTTCTTTCATTTTTGTGTCTTTAAGTAGTTTCCTTCCATTCATCATCTGATTTTATCCTAATGATATCTGAGTGGCACAGCTCTGAAACATTATGGTATTCTAATTTCTACAGAGAGGGAAACTGAGATATGGAGAGCTTACGTGGTTTACTCACAGCCACATGGCCATGTTTCCAGTGATGCAGACTTCTGATTTTTAATTGCATATACTTGTCGAGTTTTATATGTATTCTTTTTGTCTACTTTCCTCTCAAATGCTATTGTGTGTGTGTGTTTTTTTCCTCTATAGGACTTGGCCTTTACCCTGGAAGAGAGACAGCAATTGAACATTCATGGATTGTTGCCACCTTCCTTCATCAGTCAGGAGATCCAGGTTCTTAGAGTAGTAAAAAATTTTGAGCGTCTGAACTCTGACTTTGACAGGTAACACATTGCTGAAGGTGGTTTTTATATTTCTCTTATACAGTTGCCTAGTTTATTTTTTATTGGGTGAGAAAATGAAAACATTTAATGATTTGGAAAGGGTAGCCAACTTTGAGGACAATTTGCCTGTGAACAATGATGTTTTTTAAAAATTTACTCTCTCTAGGAACATTTGAATGAAATAAAAATTTGCTTTGTAAACTGTATGCTCAGACAGACCATGTTTATCATATGATACTGTAAAAGTAAATGATTGGGAAATGCCATCCTAAATGGAACAAAACAGATTAGAGTGACTTTTAGTCAAACTTTACGTATATTGTAGGTGAAAGCACACTTTTCCAGCCTCCAGTCTTTGTTCCAACACGGTTGCAAGTTTAGGTCACTTACTTTGTGTAGTGTATTCAGTTTCTGTATTTGCACAAAGATAAAGATAGTATTTTTCCCTACCTTTGGGATTAGATAACCTTAGATTGAAATTCTGGCTCTATCTCACTAGCAGTAGATCCTTGAGCAAACCACTACATGCCCTGCCATGGTGACTGTAACTGCTTTGCTGTCTGTTTTTGACTCCACTCTTTCTTACTAAGGTAGTAAGCCTTTGTAGACCTTAGTTTTTTTCATCAATGGATTAGAGAGAACAATAGCTATTTGAAAACATTGTTGTGAGGGTTAAAAGAGGTAGCCAATTCAATGTCAAATAAGTATTGGTATTAACCAGGGTTCTCCGAAGAAACAGAGCTGATAGGATGTGTGTGTGTGTGTGTGTGTGTGTGTATGTGTAAATGAAAATATAAATACAAATGGATAGAGAGAGAGAGAAAGAAGGAGAGGGAGAAGGCTTGTTCAATCCAAAATTTTCAGGTAGGTTGTCAGGCCAAAGACTGAAGGAAGAGTTGCAGTTGAGTCCAAAGGCAGTGTGCTGGCAAAATTTATTTTTGCTGGACGGAAGGTCTGTCTGTGTTATTAAGGCCTTCAGCCGTTTGGAAGAGGCCCACCCACATTTTGGAGGGTAATCTGATTTATTTAAGTCCACCAATTTAGATGTTAATCTCATCCAAAAACACCTGTGCAGAAACATCCAGAATAGTGTTTGACCAAATGTTGATACACCATGTTTGTTATGGACCGAATGCTTGTGTCCCCTTGCAAATTCATATGTTGAAATCTAATCCCCAGTGTGATGTTATTTGGAGGTGAGGACTTTGGGCGACGATTAGGTCATAAAAATGGCACCTTCATGAAATGGAATTAGTACTCTAAAAAGAAGAGGCCAGAGTACCAACCAAAAAAGCCAAGGATCAGATGGATTCATAGCTGAATTCTACCAGAAATATAAACAGGAGCTGGTACCATTCATTCTGAAACTGATCAAAACAATCAAAAAGGAGGGACTCCTCCCTAACTCATTTTATGAAGCCAGCATCATCCTGATACCAAAACTGGGAAGAGACACAACAAAAAAGAAAACTTCAGGCCAATATCCCTGATGAACATCTATGTGAAAATCCTCAATAAAATACTTGCAAACCGAAACCAGCAGCACATCAAGAAACTTATCTACCAGAATCAAGTCGGCTTCATCTGTGGGATGCAAGGCTGGTTCAACATATGCAAGTCAGTAAACGTAATCCGTCACATGAACAGAACCAATGACAAAACTCACATGATTATTTCAATAGATGCAGAAAAGGCCTTTGATAAAATTAAACATCCCTTCATGTTAAAAACTCTCCATAAACTAGGTACTGATGGAACATATCTCAAAGTAATAAGAGCTGTTTATGACCGACCCACAGCCAATATCATACTGAGTGGGCAAAAGCTGGAAGCACTCCCTTTGAAAACCACTATAAGACAAGGATGCCCTCTCCACCACTCCTGTTCAACATAGTATTGGAAGTTCTGGCCAGGACAATCAGGCAAGAGAAAGAAATAAAGTGTATTCAAATAGGAAGAGAGGAAGTCAAATAGTCTCTTTTTGCAGATGACATGATTTTATACTTAGAAAACCCATCCTCTCAGCCCAAAAACTCCTCGAACTGATAAGCAACTTCAGCAAAGTCTCAGGATACCAAATCAATGTGCAAAAATCACAAGCATTACACCAACAATAGACAAGCAGAGAGCCAAATCATGAATGAACTTCCATTCACAATTGCTACAAAGAGAATAAAATACGCAGGAATACAGCTAACAAGGGATGTGAAGGACTTCTTTAAGGAGAACTACAAACCACTGCTCAAGGAAATGAGAGAACACAAACAAATGGAAGAACATTCCATGCTCATGGATAGGAAGAATCAATGTTGTGAAAATGGCCATACTGCCCAAAGTAATTTATAGATTCAGTGCTATACCCATCAAGCTACCATTGACTTTCTACACAGAATTAGAAAAAACTGCTTCAAATTTTATATGGAACCAAAAAAGAGCCCACATAGCCAAGAAAATTGTAAGCAAACAGAACAAAGCTGGAAGCATCATGCTACCTGACTTCAAACTATACTACAAGGCAACAGTAAGCAAAACAACATGGTACTGGTACCAAAACAGATATATAGACCAATGGAACAGAACAGAGGCCTCAGAAATAACACCATATATCTACAGCCATCTGATCTTTGACAAACCTGACAAAAACAAGAAATGGGGAAAGGATTCCCTATTTAATAAATGGTGTTGGGAAAACTGGCTAGTCATATGCAGAAAACTGAAACTGGACCGCTTCCTTACACATTATACAAAAATTAACTCAAGATGAATTAACGACTTAAATGTAAGACCTAAAACCATAAAAACCTTGGAAGAAAACCTAGGCAATACCATTCAGGACATAGGCATGGGCAAGGACTTCATGATTAAAATACCAAAAGCAATGGCAACAAAAGTCAAAATTCACAAATGAGATCTAATTAAACCAAAGAGCTTAGAGCTTCTGCACAGCAAAAGAAACTGTCATTGGAGTGAACAGGCATTCTACAGAATGGGAGAAAATTTTTGCAATCTATCAATCTGACAAAAGGCTAACATCCAGAATCTACAAAGAACTTAAACAAATTTACAAGAAAAAAACAACTCCATCAACAAGTGGGCAAAGGATATGAACAGATAATCCTCAAAAGAGGACATTTATGCTGCCAATAAACACATGAAAAAAAAACCTCATCATCACTGGTCATTAGAGAAATGCAAATCAAAGCCACAATGGGATACCATCTCATGCCAGTTAGAATGGCGATCATTAAAAAGTCAGGAAACAACAGATGCTGGAGAGGATGTGGAGAAACAGGAATGATTTTACATTGTTGGTGGGAGTGTAAATAAGTTCAACCATTGTGGAAGACAGTGTGGCAATTCCTCAACGATCTAGAACCAGAAATACCATTTGGTCCAGCAATCCCATTACTGGGTATATACCCAGAGGATTATAAATCATTCTACTATAAAGACACATGCACACGTATGTTTATTGCAGCAATGTTCACAATAGCAAAGACTTGGAACCAATACAAATGCCCATCAGTGATAGACTGGATAAAGAAAATGCTGCACATATACATCATGGAATACTATGCAGCCATAAAAAAAGGATGAGTTCATGTCCTTTGCAGGGACATAGATGAAGCTGGAAACCATCATTCTCAGCAAACTAACACAAGAACAGAAAACAAAACATCGCACGTTCTCACTCACAAGTGGGAGTTGAACAATGACAACACCTGAATGCAAGGAGGGGAACATCACACACCAGTGCCTGTATGGGGTTGGAGGTTAGGGGAGGGATTGCATGTTGGGAGGGTAGACGATGGGTTGATGGGTGCAGCAAACCACTATAGCATGTGTACACCTATGTAACAAACCTGTGCATTCTTCACATGTATCCTGGAACTTAAAGTATAATACAAAAAAAAAAAATGTGGACAAAGGATATGAACAGACATTTCTCAAAAGAAGACATTTAAGCGGCCAACAAACATGAAAAACAAACTCATCATCACGGGTCATTAGAGAAATGCAAATCAAAACCACAGTGAAATACCATCTGACACTACTTAGAATGGCAATCATTAAAAAGTCAGGAAACAACAGATGCTGGAGAGGATGTGGAGAAACAGGAATGTTTTTATATTGTTGGTGGGAGTGTAAGTTAGTTCAACCATTGTGGAAGACAGTGTGGCGATTCCTCAAGGATCTAGAACCAGAAACACCATTTGACCCAGCAATCCCATTACTGGGTATATACCCAAAGGATTATAAATCATTCTACTATAAAGACACATGCACATGTATGTTTATTGCAGCACTGTTTGCAATAGTAAAGACTTGGAACCAATACAGATGCCCATCAGTGATAGACTGGATAAAGAAAATGTTGCACATATACACCATGGAATACTATGCAGCCATAAAAAAGGGTGAGTTCATGTCCTTTGCAGGGACATAGGTGAAGATGGAAACCATCATTCTCAGCAAACTAACCCAAGAACAGAAAAGCAAACATCGCATGTTCTCACTCACAAGTGAGAGTTGAACAATGACAACACCTGGACACAGGGAGGGGAACATCACACACGCATGCCTGTATGGGGGTGGGGGGCTAGGGGAGGGATAGCATGATGGGAGGGTAGATGACGAGTTGATGGGTTCAGCAAACCACTGTGGCATGTGTATACCTATGTAACAAACCTGCACATTCTGCATGTGTATAATACAAGAAAAAAAAGTGGACAAAGGATATGAGCAGACACTTCTCAAAAGAAGACATGCAGCCAAGAAACATGAAAAAAAATTCATCATCACGGGTCATCAGAGAAATGCAAATCAAAACCACAATGAAATACCATCTGACACCACTTAGAATGGTGATCACTAAAACAGGAAACAACAGATGCTGGTGAGGCTGTGGAGAAAGAGGAATGCTTTTACATTGTTGGTGGGAGTGTAAAATAGTTGAACCATTGTGGAAGACAGTGTGGCAATTCCTCAAGGATGTAGGA